TCAACCCTGGTCCTGAGCGCCCCCCAACACTGCACATTTTGTATGTCTCCCTTATCTGACACCCATTTCAGGTCCTGGAGTTTCTTTTAATGAGCTATTGAGTTGAATCAGGTGTGTTTGATTAGGGAGACACACAAAATGTGCAGTGCTGGGGGGCGCCCAGGACCAGGGTTGAGAAACACTGTTCTAGATGGTTGCTAGGATGCCCTAGGTGGTTTCTAAGATGTCATAGGAGGTTTCTAGGGTATTGTGGGTGGTTGCTCTGGTGTCATAGGTGGGTCCAATGATGTTCTAGGTGGTTGCTATGCTGTCCAAAGTGGTTGCTAGGGTCATTTAGGTGGTCACTAAGGTGTTCTGATTGTTTGCTAGGTGGTCCAATCTCAACTCTCTGATATTCTGGTATGAATATGAATCTGCTCCCTCCTTCAATGTACATCTGTGGGATTTTTCCACCTCTTTTGCGCATTTTGTGCAAGTGAAATGAAATGCAAAGCTAACATGTAATGTTAGAGGTCTGTTAAAATCACTAACACTAACTCACTATGAGCAATAGTAATATTTATGCAGCCTTAGCAAAGCCCACTAATTTTGGCATTTTCATAGCACAAACGCAAGCTCTTTCTCCTTCTCTCTCCGCCTCTCTTATATTCTCCCACTCCACTTCTCTTTCTATTTCTCTCCGTCCTTGGCAATGATGAGAGCATGATTGAAGTGGCAAGAAGGTAATTGGCATTCTGGAACAATGATAATGACCTCTGAAAGGACTGTGCTGCCCCATTGACAGCCACTCATTTCTGATTTGTTTGGACAGTGCATCGTTCTGTTCATTTCGCCCTCTCCCGCCTCGTGCATTACAGGCCTTTGAAGAATAAACAGGCATTTCGTGAAAGGCTGGCCATTGGCTCCGGCTCAGATTAACCAGTGGGCCACCTGCACATGTGCCTGATGGACTCCGATTACTCTGAGGCTTCAAACTCTCACAGATATTATGCATTCTGAATAAAAATGCAAAGTTTTTTTGCAATATTAGCATTCCCAGAAATGACAAAGCAAATTCAGTTCAGCATCCAAATTATCCATAGGAAAGAAGGATGTGACCTGATTAACATCGCAGTAGTATCCTAGACAGCAATAAGATTAACTGAGAGGCAGATAAAGATCTCAACAGTGTCTCAAACTGTGCTCAAGTCTGAGAAGCAATCAAAAGTCTGAAGAAGATCTGCTTCTGTTCCACCAGCAACACCAAGATTAAAGAGAAGTTATTACGCCCCTTTTTACAAGATGTAATATAAGTCTCAGGAGTCCCCAGAATGTATCTGTGAAGTTTCAGCTTAAAATAACCCACAGATTATTTATTATACCATGCTAAAAATGAAAATTTTTTAAAGGGGTCATATGATGCTTTTTTAAAGATCATTATTTGGTGTATTTGGTGTAACAGCTTTAATGCTTTAATGTTCAAAAAACACATTATTTTTCAAATACTGTACATTATTGTAGGTCCTATATGCCCCTCGTGCATGTCTTTAAATGCAAATGAGCTGCTGAATCACTTCAGAATCACGCCGGAAGTAGTAGGTCATCCGGGTACTTTTTGTCTACTCTTTTATGACTACTGTGAAATAATCGGACATTCTTCTTTTGTCACATACTGTTTTCGCCTACTAAATAGTAGGGAAGTATGCGATTTCGGAGGACTCTACCAAATGCATAAATGTAAATGCTGAGATCTCAATATGAACTTCTTTCATGATTAAATGATCTGAGCTGCTATTCACATGCATTTTGTTGCCTCATTTGTGTCATTGTGTCTCACGTCTCCTTTTCTTAGGAGAAACATCTGAGACAATGTTGAACTCGTTTATTCAAATTCATGCACAGCCAGAGAGATTGTCAACCAATGCATCAGGATATTCTTGCAACTATTTATTTACAGTGACTAAGTAGTAAGACAGAAAAAAATGCTTTTCATTTCATTGATTTGAATTTGAAATAAGACTTCCAATTGAACCGCAGTGCAAAAGTAACAAGAGAAACACTTTAAAAGTGACATCGAAAAAGGTCACACTCACCGTTTTTGTCAGCTCGACGGAAAATCTGTGAGGAGATAAAGATGAAAAAACAGTCAATGGGCAGTTTATCAACGCGAGCAGCATTCAGAAGCATAGAGGACTGATGGAAATGCTCAGTGCTGATCAATACTGAATAGAATTTGGCCTGAATGTCTTTAATGAACTGCCCTTTTAGAGCTTTGCTGTGTTCCCTCTTCAACACTGATGGAACGTGACATTATAACTGAGATGCCTTTATAAAGCCTGTTAGCTACAGAAACAAACAAGCCATGCTCTCAAAAACCATCCACATGCACAAACCACACACCTTTTATGGAGGCAAATGTGCAATTGCTATTGTGAAGACTTTCACTATAAGAGAAGGCTGCATTTATTTGATCAAAAATACAGTAAAAACAGTAATATTGTGAAATATTATTACAAATCAATATGACTGTTTTCTATGTGAATATCTGTTAAAATGTAATTTATTTCTGTGATGCGCAGCTGAATTTTCAGCATCATTACTCCAGTCTTCAGTGTCACATGATCTTCAGAAATCATTCTAATATGCTGATTTGCTGCTCAAGAAACATTTCTGATTATTATCAATGTTAAAAACAGTTGTGCTGCCGAATATTTTTGTGAAAACCGTGATATATTTTATTTTTCAGGATCCTTTGATGAAGATCAAATGTAAAAGAAGAGTTTATTTGAAATATTATTTTTTGTAAAATTATAAATGTCTTTACTGTAACTTTTGATCAATTTAATGCATCCTTGCAGAATAAATTATTCATAAAAAAAAACGTTCTGTCCCCAAACTTTTGAACGTTAGTGTAGTTTTATAAATAAATGCATATGTAGGCACAATTTATGTTTGCCTAAAAAGTAATTTCAAGTTTTTCAGCAGAAGCCTTTAGATCAAAATGTTTGTAAGATCATGAAAATCATAAATGCTACTGGTACACACACTCAGGATCATCATAACGGAGAAAATGGTTGCTGTATTCTCAAGGGCAACTAATCCTGTTATCCGTCAAAGTCTTTTTTTTTTACCACTCCTGCTTCTTCCACTGGCTCCTCGGGCCAATGGTGCAAACATATCAGATTGTGAAGGTCTGAGACTCATCTGAGATTCAGGATGAGAACGTTTCTGGACAGTTTGCCTGTGAGGATTACGTAGGTGTTGACAGTACAATCATCTAGTGGCTAAACATGGCTCTTTCACACCTGGACGGGTCACCACACTGTTATAGTTGTTTTCTTTTTTTTGACTCCTCAAGTGCTTTTAACACCATCTGGCCTTCACTTTTGTCGATGCCCACAAGGGTTTGTTCTAGTATCTGTTTACAATCCTCAGTCTACACTTGTAACACATTACCTGCAGGTCTCTGATTATTCTATGATTGTATAAGTCAGTGTTTCCCAACCGGGGTGCCTTGGCACCCTGGGGTGCCGTCTGTCGAGAGCAGGGGTGCCGTGTAAAAAATCCTTTTTTAATATTTTTAAATTGCTAAAATGTTCAAAAAAGTATCTATTATATAATATCCATTTCTGATGTCGCCAATAATTAGAGATGCACCGAAATTTCGGCTGCCGAAAATTAGTTCACCGCTCAGGATTCACTTTCACGTGGTGTGACGCTCTGCGTGTTATCCCGCTCTATGCGTGTGTGTGCTCCGCTCAGTCGCTCACGGCCCATGTGAGTGCTCCACTAATATACCGTTCATGCTCATCGGAATAGCAAAGTCCACTCAAAAATCGAGCTGACAGGAAACATTGATGTAGTACAGTATTGTTTCTGTCTGCAATAGCCCTACTGTGTTGTAACATGGTGTGGTATATGGGCAACTCTGGTAACGCTGCCCTCTCGTTCATTGATCTGCTAACCGCTATGTTATGCTCACGTGTTCTGATAATAATAGCTTTCTAGGACTAAACATTATTTGGATAATTGGTAAGAAAAAATCTCTTAATAGTCCCTATTGTGTGTTAGACCTACCTGAAAAACTAAAAAGCAATTTATTTCATTTGTAGGCCTATCGTGATTTTTTTTTATTTGTGCTATCATTATTAATTTCTTTATTTGTTCTTATTTTATTACTGCCTGCTTACTTGTCATTTTTTATTCAATTCAAAGTTTGAAATCAAGCTATCTCGTGCTACTGCAACAAAATTACCCAGCTGTAAAATCAAAACTTTGTTTAATTACCATTATAACTAGCTATCTCACAATGTTTACATATGAATAAAAGCCTGCATTAAAATCTGTCATATAAATTGGTCTTTTCATTAGAAATTAGCCTACTGATTGCCACCATTGATGGACAATTTTTTTTTATAATATTAAAAATATCTGTATGACATTATATTCTGCAGTTCTTCCCTGTTGTACCGAATATCTATACTTTTCAAATTATCACATCGAAGTTAGAAATTCAAATATTGTGACAAAATTTATTTTGTAGGGTGCCACAAGTTTGTTAAAATTTCCAAAGGGTGCCGCGACTAAAAAAAGGCTGGGAAACACTGGTATAAGTGAGCATACAAGGCTGCATACAATGGTCTGATATATTTAAATAAAAGGTTCTAGGTCAGAAAGCTGCATGTTCAGTTCTTGTTGCACTGCACAGCTACTTTAGATAAAAATCATAAAATCATTTTATTAACAAATATCATATGTGACTCTGGAGCACAAAAGCAGTGTTAAGTCGCTGGGGTATATTTGTAGCAATTCATTTGGACAACTTTAAAGATGATTTTCTCAATATTTAGATTTTTTTGCACCCTCAGATTCCAGATTTTCAAATAGTTGTATCTCGACCAAATATTGTCCGATCCTAACAAACCATACATCAATGGAAAGCTTATTTATTCCGCTTTCATATGGTGTATACATCTGAATTTCAAAATATTGACCCTTATGACTGGTTTTGTGGTCCAGGGTCACATATGTGTTATTGATAGCAATGCATTTTATTTGTTATGTATTTGAATAATTCCTGACCATTCCATCAAAGCAGCTTAAAACACTGAATTAAATTTGGATGAACTGATCGATCTAAAGCCAGACTGTTTGTTTTCATATGCACATTTATGCAAAAGTCAAACCTTTTTATCATGAAGTATCGAATATATTTTTCAGAAGTTCTTCTAATATTCCTCATTTATTTTTATTTTTCTCATTAGCAGGTTTTTATGCTATCTTTTTTTAACTTCTTTTATGTAGTACTGGTCTTTGTAAGCACCTCTGTGAGAGCTGAATTTCTCTTCTAGGATCTCTTTTATATTGTCAGGTGGCCGGTTTATTATATCTTATAAAACACGTCCCTGTTGAAAAAAACAGCATATGCTGGTTAGGTAGGTTTTGAAGCATGGATGCTGGTTTGAGCTGGTCCCTCCTGCTCATGACCAGCTAAGGACCAGCTTAAACCAGCTCAAACCAGCATCCATGCTTCAAAACCTAACCAGCATATGCTGGTTTTTTCAACACAGCTGCAAGTGTTCAAATTTTACAGCAAAAACAAGCAAAACAAAGGATGATGGAATGCTACATTTCTTCAAATGTGTTCATCTGAAGAAGCAAACGTATCTACATCTCGGATGGATTGAGGGTGAGTACATTTTCAGCAAATTAAAATTGTTTTAGTGATGTCTTTAACATTTCTAAATAAATGTGCACTTTCACAAGCTTAATAAAATACAAACAACTTTAAAACACAGCTAACTGGCTTGAAGAATTAAAATGTCATTCAGACAAATGGTATTAACTAAAACCAATAGTTGGATTCGCACACTGTGTGCATTTGGCTAAGAGCCACACAGTCAAACAGCGCTGACTAATCCCTTTAGAGCAGATTAATCTAAGCAAAACCACACCGGGATGCAGATCAAAAGGTGAAATATACTTCATTTATGAAGAGCAGGTCGCATGTCTGTTGATTCTTCAGCTTTATATGACACAATAAGGTTTGTAAAAGCCAGATGTGTGACAGTGCATTGCCAAAAGATAAGTGTAGGATAATGCATCATTAACAATGTCCTTTAAAGGTCATCTGAGCTTCCTGCCGAGAGATCGTTTCCAATGGCTCCCTGGCAGGTGTTGAGCCAGTGGGGAGACACGGGTCCTACTGACTCTGTTCACTAGAAAGAGAACAAACGATTCACAAAGCACAATATCAGTTGAGTCACGGTTTATAAATAGGCCTGACAGCATCTTAGTTAATCCAAATCTCTTTCTCCTTCAGAGCCCACGGTTCAGTATCAGCGCACAAGAGCTTCAAACGCGGGCCGAGGGAATTATAAGTAGCCGTTTGCTCTTCTCATGTCTGTCAGCTTTAGAAATTTCAAGGATACGGACACGGGAAAGATGATTAGCAATTATCGCCTCCGGGAGCGAATAAATACCTCCCACAAACACAGCCTCTGTCCGTCACGTTGCGAGAAGCGATATTTTAACATTTGAGACTTATTTTAGTGACAAAAGCAACTTTTAATGTCATTTAATGTTTTAATTAGCAGATCATGTACCTCATTTCTTTCAATGTGGGTCACTTATCCCTAGGGGAGATATTTTTCTGCTAATAATCTCAATCTGATATACATACATATATTACATTTCCATATATTAAATATATTATCATATGAAGTAAAAACGTGTATTAAACCTATTAAAAATTGGAGCAATTTCATATATTGACATCTAATTCATACAAATTCATGTCTATGTATTTTTGACATGTACATGTATATCCATCCAAAAAAACCTGTCCATTCATGTTCATATTATATAAGTAAATATAAAAGATAGACATTTACTTATTACTAATTACAAAAAATATATATAAACATAAAGATTTTGTTGTTTTAATATAGTTGCATATATAAATAAAAAATACTGTTGACATATATGGTTGCTACATATCATACCACATAAATAATCATATATAGATATTATAAACATATGTACATTTACAAATTTTACTATGGGGATTTTAAATGTAAACTTATAAACTTACAATCAAACCAAAATCTATTCAGACACCTTCAACATTTCACACATTATCACAGTTTATTCACTATAGTTTAGAAAATGGTAATAAAATATGAACTCAGAGTTAAACTGTGTCAGAACAAATTCATCTTAAGCAAAACATGATCAGGTCAAAGTGTCTGAATAATTTTTGGTCCCAAATTGGTATTAATTTTACTGGTAGTTCACTGTATGAAGAATTTTTGGGTATAATATGTCACAGAGTATTTTATTTTGCTATCCTCACTTACATAGATGAACTATAGTGTCCTGCACCCACTAGTAAAAAAAATATCAAAAATTATATCTGGTGTCTGAATAATTTTTGGTTTGACTGTATATTTCATCTAACAAGAGAATTCATGTATGTGAAAATTATATATAGCCTTAGGTACCATATATGTCAATATCACTCTTGATATAGGGTTATATATGTCATATATTACATTTTCATATACATGCTGCTATTTTCATACCACAATGTGCAACGCCCTATAACCACCGAGAGCAACACACTAAATGTAAAACTCTAGTTTGGTGATGTTGTACTGCACAGAAACAGACAGGAGAAGGCTCGGTAGTAGTTCCTGCAATATTAAATTTCATGCATAATTCTACATCCTGAAGATAAATTCATAAATAAGAGCTGTTTTGACATGATCTGAAATGCAAGGCAAAAGACAGCAACATTAGCAATCGTCTCTTTAATGAAACTATGAGAATATATGACAGAATCACACGCTGAGATCAGCCTCCGCTTGAACAGATTGAATTCATCCAAGCAGCACAGCAACATTAATCTTGATGCATATCAGAACTGTCAGAAAACGTTTCTGTGTTTGCTGTGATGATCAAAGACATGCAACTTTTCTTCCCCAAGCGCACGCTAAAGGATGAAAGCTTAAGATACAAACACAATGCTTTGACTTTTTGTATCTCCCAAATGCACACGTCGAGCTCTTAATTTACAGCAGCAAAAGCTGGAGCTGTGTGTAAAGTCAACATTAAATGTCTAATGTGATGTGAAAGAGGAAATTCAAGAAAAAAATGTAGGACAGGACTTGATTTTATCCATCTGGAATTGATTAGATGAAGAAAAGCAAGCGTTTTATATCACAATGCCAGATCTGAATGTCGACTGCAATGAAAGATCAATTTCACTCTCCAGAGCTTCTCCACTTATCCCAATGGTGATGCTTCTTTTTCAGATCAATCATTATTTGATATTACTGCCATAACCTATATTATTCCAGTTAAGATTTTAGAAAGCATCTACAACAGCAGTCTAAAACAACGACTTAAGAGTATTTGGCTACTGGTTAACATTAACCAAATGCCTGCAGCCAAAAAAGGAGTTGTCTCAGAGACGGAGCAAGTTAATGCTTTTTAATTAAAGATTGCACTAATGAATCATGCAAAATAAGACCAGGAACATGTGCTAAATAAGGTCAATTTTGATTTCAGGTCGACTTTAAGGACAAGCACGCACACACACACACACACACACACACCCACAGACACAGACACACACACACACACACACACCCACAGACACAGACACACACACACACACACACACCCACAGACACAGACACACACACACACACACACACCCACAGACACAGACACACACACACACACACACACCCACAGACACAGACACACACACACACACACACACCCACACCCACACACACACACACACACACACATCCTCTCTTTTGTCAGACCCCCTCTATGACAGCTTACTTAACCCTGCTGAGAGAACATCTGCAACTTTTCATCTGTCTCTAACACGACTTCACACAGCCTTAAAGATGCTGAAGCAGGTATACTGCTTGTACATTAAGCACATCCACAACACATGCAATAAACATGCAAGACAGATGATATACAGGAAGATTATATAAGTATGTAATATTGATGATACCCTTGATTATTTTCTTCTTTAAAAGCTCTACTTGGTAATGCTTAGAAATTCTGAACAAAAATAATTTTTCATGTATATGAGCACAAAAAGAAACATGCAAACACATACAAAATCTATCCAAGAGAATATATTGCATTGCATTGAAGAAAATATAGAAATCGTGTCAGCAAATATGATTCACCAGTAGCTGCTGCAATTGTTTAATTGTACAGCATAAATGCATAAAAGCATCAAAATCACTAAGCATGAATGACATTTATGATTGACTGGGAGAGTGACAAAGCAAGGCATTTCAACTAGAATAAAAAGAGATGACAATTTATGTTTATATGCATACTGAAGCCTCTATATTACATATACATTAAGCCTATATGTAAATTAGCTATATAGCATATATCGTATACTATATACTGGCTATCTGATGTTACAATGGAAGACTAAAAATAAAACATGACTATGCATTTGGATTTCTTCTTGTGCTGCCTAATAAGAGAGTAAGCTGATCAATTATTTATTCCCCAAACTGTAGCACAACCTATTTTAAGACTATATTGTCATATGTGCATAACCAGCCTCCCTCTCTGTCCTACATTAATAGAAGTGACACATTGACTTGTTCTTGGGTTCAAGGTGAATGTTTGCATGGTCACCTATTGGTGGGTTCAGTGACCGATCGTTTGGCTACTTACATCGTGAAAGATGGACAGTCCGTGAACCGCATCCTGCATCTGATGCTGCTGCTGCTGCTTGGAGCGGAGATGCTCGCGCTTCGCCGACTGAAGACACATCGTGATCATTTCGGTGCATGCCAACATCTTTAAACGAGCTGTTCAAGAACTTAGAAAGAAGAATATGCACTTAATGACGCCGATATATAAGCAGACCTCGGAGTTAATGAGATCGGAACTGGTGTGTGAATAGCAGCACGGCGCTTGTCTTCTGGGAGAATGCTGCTGATGCTGAGGAATACTAGTGAATGCCAAAGAATCGTTCTTTTGACTGAACCGATTCTTTTGAATGATTCGGACGAACTGATTCGGACAGCGCTTGTGAATCACTCGCCTTAAACCTTTGTGGATTTTTTTCTGTCTGTTGACCAGATTTATGGAGTGATAACGAGATATATTCAAAATCTCCTCTGTAAAGAACTTTAACTTTTAATCTGGCTTCATCCAAAATTCAGATTTCTGTTCTGGAAATATGTGCAAATTAGTGCATATTTAATTGGATAATGTCTGACTGATGGACAAAATGAATCAATGCATCTTTTTTTTATAGCAACGCTTCACTGAAATGAATCTCCGATCGAACCGATTCGCGGAAATGATTCAGACTTCCAAGATCTTGCTCCACCTCCTTGGATGCTGATTGGTCCAGCAGTAGTTCAATGGACATCACTCACTTGACTCGCTTTTACTAGGACAAATCCATTTATGTTATTTACAGCAATTTATTAAATGATATGACATGATATTACAATGAATAAACACACATTAGCATTTAACATGAAAGATTAAACATTAAATAAAAATGAGATATAGTGTCATCGAAACAGTATTTTAAATGTCCACAGTTCATCAGGGACACCATTCATTGAGAACCACCATTATAATAAAAGACATAGGCTATTCAAAGTATTCTCATGGTATACCAAAGTTTAAAAAACAAATAAATACCATGGTACTCACCGGTCTATATCTAAAAACAGACCACAGTTACTTTTTTATTGATTACATATTATTCACAAAATAGCAATAAATTATTCATAATTTATTGATTCTCTAAAATTCCCTTTTAAAATAGCCTACTGCTTATACACTCAGAAAGTCTTCAAGTTTTGGGGATTTTCAAACAGAGATCAGTCATTACTGGATTTACAAAACATATTTCAACATTGCATCAACTACTGATGAACACATTAATGTTTATTTGAATTATCACTCAGTAGGTTATTTAACCCTCTATTACAATGTCTTTGGAAGGTTTTTGTCTTTCAAACACATTAAAATGCACAAATTCACATTATTTATTATTTACACGTAATGCAGGCATTCCAAGCTTTTTGTCATCTGAACATCTTTCACCTAATATATTTATTTAAAGTACCCCTGAGATTTTAAAATCAATATTTAATAATTAAGTATCACATTTGCATGTTCAAGGTTCTCTGACATTGGTTAATGGTCACATGACACGCAGGTAAACAAATAAAATAATTCATTTTTTAGATTTATTTAGATTTATGATATTTTAAAATGATTTATTTTCATTTGACATTTTTATGATTTAATTAATGATTAACTTTTCATTAAACTCACTGCAGTACCTTTACAAACCGCGGTTCGGGAAACCTTGATAATGTAATGTTTAATGCATTTTATGTTGTTAATTTCAATGAATGGAATATATTTTTTTACTCTTTGTATATCAGTATGGTAGGCTACAAGATTATCCTATTTAAATCAATGTGATAAACAAGTTAGGTCAAAAGTAATCAAAAAGTAGTCTGATTAGATTACCTGAAATGTGTAATGTAACGGATTACGTTACTATAACTACAATTTTTGTCATGTAATTTCGGAATCACTAACAGATTACAATTTGTAAGTAATCTACCCAGCTCTGTGTGAAACACTATATCTGCAGTAAAGGTGCAATAATATATGTGCAATAATATACACTATATGTCAATGTGCAATACTAGCTATATCTAGTCACTAAATCACTACAGTTACTCATTCCATTTAAATTGTACTTTTGTATAAACTTACTGTGCATATCAATGTAAAGGTCACTTTAAATGGTCACTTTACTCAGATTGCTCAATGTGAATATCATGTCTCAGTCACTTGTTGTGTTTTTATTTATTTAGTCATTTATTAGACGCTTTTATCCAAAGCGACTTACAAATGAGGACAACAGAAGCAATCAATTGTAGTATTAAAACAACTAAAAACAGATCCAAAACTAAAAGCTAAAACTTTATAAATACTACCTATACACATTTTAAAACTGCTGCTATACAACATGCAATATACAATATATACAATATTGTACAATATGCAATATGTCAATCTGCAATAGGCTACCACTGTCCGAACACTTTATTTATCTGAACTTCAAACAAATGCACTAAATAGTATGTCAGGGTGAAATACCATATCTGGTTACTAAATGTGAAACACTATATCTGCAGTAAAGGTGCAATAATATATGTGCAATAATATACACTATATGTCAATGTGCAATACTAGCTATATCTAGTCACTAAATCACTACAGTTACTCATTCCATTTAAATTGTACTTTTGTATAAACTTACTGTGCATATCAATGTAAAGGTCACTTTAAATGGTCACTTTACTCAGATTGCTCAATGTGAATATCATGACTCAACAAGTAATATGAAAGAGGAGAAATAAAAAGCGATACTTATTTACTTGTAAAATTGCACTGTACAGTCTTATACTCTTATTTATTGTCTGTGGTTATATGTTTGTTTTTCTAACACCAGTCAGGAGCAGTGCTCCTAATTTCGTTGTATGCAGAAAAAATACAATGACAATAAAGGCGTTCAATTCAATACAGTATCCGATTGCGTCGCGTCACGTGACGGGGTTGCGTCGTGACGTCACTCTGACATGGAGCCATCGCTGGTGGCGGACCGTTGGTCGCCCGGTTGAGATGGAGCAAAGTTCATTCAAACGACGGGAAGTTGACCCCAGAACCCGTTAAAAACGAGACCTAGAAACATTCCCCGTGATCATAAGACGGTAAGATACAAGTGACACACGCGTATAGAGGACAAAATGGAAGAAAAACAGCCGTGTTTCGGTAACGCGTTAGCTCGTTTGACCGGTGACTGACTGTGTTAGACTGTGTGACGGGTGATGTGTTGACAGCTCATTAATTAATGTACGCAATTTACAGTCTGAAACGATTATAAACTATCAGTTTCAAAGACATAGCTGCGTGTAGTTGACTTATAAACGTCTGTCTGACGTCTTGCTGTTTTTTTGTAGCTGCGTCAGTCAGTAACGCTACGTGACGTCACTTCTGTACTGTTTTACAGTATCATAACAACAGTGTCTGACACCATGGTACAGAAATTTACATGGTACTCCAAGATGCTTGTAATACTATGGAAATATTGATTTCTGTGGTGTATGTCAAAGTATCTTGCTAATACCACCTAATATCATCTCTTTACCGTGGTAAAACCACAGTGCTTTATTTGTAGTGTCTTTTTACAAACTATTAAGGCTGAATGGGGTAAAATAATGAACTACATTTAGACAGTTGTCTTCAATTACACGTTTTCTGAAATGTCATGTTTACAAATGCAAATGAGGCATTATCTAATTAAATATGCACTCATTTGCATACAGTTCAGAGTATGAGTACAGAAACCTGGACACCGGATAAAGCCAGGTTCAAAGTCATTGTGTGATTTTGTTGACACGTTAGAGTTAAAAGCACAATTAATCGAATTTGTAATCGTGATTATAATTACGGATGCCACAATTACATAATCGTTTAAAGTCCACTTATGTTATTCTGTGTGTGTTTTTTTTTTCTTTCTACATGTTATCTTAAGGGATTTCCCATTGTTTTAATCTGAGTCTTAGTATAACATTATAATACCATGCTTATTTTTACTTTTTTTTTTTATTTAAAGAAGAAACCAATCCAATGTATAATTGACATTTGAGGCTTAATTCTATAGAAAAGCAATAAAAGTTTTTCAGTTAGAGTGTTTTTTAAGCTTATTTTTATAAAAAAAAAATATGGCATGCAGTTGCTTCAAACAATGGTATAAATATAATTCAATGTAAATTGTGATAATCGTAATTAATAATTGCAATTTCAAGGGAATATTCATAATTTTGTTCATAATGGTGCAGCCCTCGATTTCTCTTTTTGCCACTAATACTGTCGACAACCATAAAAATGACATTTTCACCATGTTTTTAAGAAAAAAAAGTTATGCAAATCGATAAAATAAACATCGAAACGTGTTTTTTTCCCCGATGTTTTCTTTCTACTAATCTGAAAGACGAGATGTTATGAAAACAAAATAGGCCAAAATCTCAAAATGCACCAGTGCATGAAAATGTCATGTCTTGCCTAATTAAAAGTGAAACCACAGTCATTAAAAGTAGTTCCTGTGCTAATTTGTGAACTCTTCAAATCATTACCGGTCAATTTATAAAGTGCTTAAAAATCTTCATCATTTTTCATGTTGTTGACAGTGTGCTGATGGGAGCTTTTACCATGATGCACTGGCACGCAGAATTAAGCCAGAAAAAACTAAAGATGGTTTATTGATAAACCCTGCAGCTCTGCTGATGGATGGATGTTAATCAGGCATCTTGACAGAGTTTAGACCTTTTAACAGAATATTTCTCACAAAAAACTGACTTATTTTCAAGTCATTCTGAATGAGAATTGAATGTAGTCCACAAGTTGTACAGTATTGATGACTGTTATAGTGCTTTTACGTTCTTATTGGCGTACCCAGCTCTCTCTATGGGAAAGAACAAATATGGCACTAAGGTGAAGTTTTGTTGAAATTGTGAGAAGACTTTATTTTAGTATCACTGAGATATTATTATAGTTTTTGTTAATATTTTGAATCAGTTTTTATTTTAATTTATTGTCCCTTTTCATTTAAATTTTAGTTAAAATATTAGTAATTTTGTCGTGTTTTTCTGATTTATTTATATAGTTTATATACATTTTTCTTTCAGTTTGTTATTTTAGTGCATCACCTTAAAAAGCACGTTCAAACTGCTTTTGTATAGTTTTAATAAAAATTAGTGTTAATCGTTTAGTAACGATTAACCGCGAGCCGGTTGAAAATCGATTCAAATATGTGACGATTTAAATCGGTTGAGATGCTAAACAAATCGCGATTCATTTAGGGGCAGGAGTTTATATGAATGCATGTCTGAGGGGAACTTACTGTCTTTAGAAAAGTTTAGATGGTATTTTTTCTTTTCCTCTTGCCTCTGTATAATGCATATTAAAGTTCATAAGTGCAGCGCTGCTTTGTTTACAGCGGAAACCAAAGAAACGCTTTAAGCGCCACCTGCTGGCAGAGAGTGAATCTGCGTCTCATTCAGCTCGTCTGCTGTGTGTTTCATGCAGATATTTTTATGTATAGTTTCACAAAACTGAAGTCAACACATTCTGTTTTTGCTTCAAATTGAGAAATTATGCAATCCAATTTAGATTAAAAACTGCTCATGTTGCATGTATGCAGCATCTTTGTTTGGATAATGATTATTATTAAGATTGCCTCTCATTGAGTTGAGTGAATCGTTACATCCCTACACTACAGTGATTTGTACATTTGATTACTATTTGTTTTTCTTATTTGAATGCTTCTGTTTAGATGTAAGATGAAAAAAGTAATGCACTATTTAATTTGTTTCTTTCTAATATTATATTTGTTCTACTGTTTATTTGCATCGTTGTTCTAATTTTTAATAAAAAAGGGAAAAATAGCTATATTTATTGTGATTATTAATATAGTAATTATTAATAAGAAAAGAAGTGGAGGAAAAGATGCAACGTTGCTCAGTGATTTTACTTTGGAACCTTCAGAAAACTTTAACTAAATTTTTTATTTTTTTTTATTTTTTTTATTTACTTTGCTGAAACGACTTCAAACGGGTGTAGCTCAGTCATTGTTTGGTTGATTCCAACAAATCATGCATCATTTTGAAGGTTTATTCTCATTTTGCCAGCAAAGGTCACATGTATATTTGTAGTTATGGAAAATATCAGCAGAGCAAGTACAAATCCTATTGGTTGCTGATGAAATGCCTTACTTGAAGAAGTAAAATTATTTACAACCAGCATTTCTTGTTGACATTTACAGTTTGTCTCAATCATAATTGATTATAAGCTTTGTTTGTTCTCTTTGGTTCATCAGTAGAATGTCATTGGGCTCTGTGTGTGTGTTTATCAGCACTTTCTCTCAGTAGACAGGCTGATTCCTGTAGTGACTGAGAGCCCTGGAAGTCTCTTAGAATTACATCATCTGTAATCTGCCAAGGATTACTCGAGACTTCTGTTGTGAGATTAGCTGTTACAGACGGAATGAGGACATGCTTCTCACACCAGCTCTGATCTGGGATCAGATGTGTCGATATACATTGCATTTGGTGACAGATCAGCCAGTAAAAGCATGTAAGACAGTGGGTTTTGTTGGCTTAGCTAACATAACATCATATCCTTTTTTGCTCGTCAATGTTCCACCTTTTTCCACTATTTACTTCTATCTCAGCTCATAAGTTTTTGTGATGATGAGACTTAACCGAATTAATATGGATCTATATGCTTATTTGTGTATTTTAGATTTGATCCACAACTGTTTTAATGGCTGCACAATGAAGGCCCAACTTCAGATAACAGGTGAGCTGATAATCTCTATTTTATGTTTTTGCATGTGTTGACTATTTTTGTTTGCACTCATTGCAATGTAGCCCCAACATGTTGTTGTCATGTCATCAGATTAATACTTTTAATAGATCTGTGATTATATTTGTCGTCTTTTATCAGTTCTGTCCGCTAAGCTGCGGGACAATAAGAAGAATTGGTTTGGGCCCAGTCCTTATGTTGAGGTTTGTGTGGACGGCCAGTCCAAGAAGACGGAGAAATGCACCAACACTCACAGTCCCAAATGGAAACAGTCTCTCACTGTGTAAGAATGAAATACATACTAAAATAAGTCATTTTTGAGTTACAGAGCAAATGTAGGATCAATATTTATTATTTTTATATTCTTTCTCTAGACTAAAAATTAATGTTATTCTGATAAATACAATATTAAAGTGTAATGATTTTTTTGCAGTTTTGAATTAGCTTTTATTTTTATATTTTCAGTTTTGTTTTATATTTTCAGCATTAATAATAATTATGTTTTGTGTTTTTGTCATTTATATTTTTTATATATATATTTTTTAGCTTTATTTTGATTTTATTTTAGTAATTTTAGTATTTGAACTTATATTTAATGCAATATTTCTATTTGTTTTTAATATAATATTTATATTCTATAATATATTTATATTATGTTTTGTTTTGTCATTTATATTATTTTTATAATATTTTTATAGCTTTTTTTATTTTTAGTAATTTTAGTATTTCAACTTAAATTTGAGGCAAAATGTCAAATTTTTTATTAATGTTTTTTAATATTTAGATTTTATTTCAGCTTCATTTCAGTTACATAAAATGGTCATTTTAACAACACTGCTCTGTTGATCATATTCCATGTAGGATCGTCACCCCTTTCAGCAAGTTAATTTTCCGGGTTTGGAGTCACCAGACACTTAAATCGGACATTTTGCTTGGCATGGCCGCTCTGGAGGTCAGCGAGACCTTAAAAGCCAACAATATGAAGAGTGAGTTTCCATATTCTCCACTGTGAATCTCATTAATCTTAGTAAATTTCTGTAAATATATTAAAACTTAATTTTTGCTTAGTAATATGCATTTAAAGGTGCATTGTAATATGCAACTTTAAAGGTGATTTTCTCAATATTTTGATTTTTTTGCACCCTCAGATTCCAGATTTTCAAATAGTTGTATCTCGGCCAAATATTGTCATATCCCAACAAACCACACATCAATGGAAAACTTATTTATTCAGCTTTCAGATGATGCATAAATCTCAATTTCAAAAAATGTATCCTTATGACTGGTTTTGTGGTCCAGGGTCACAAATATGCCGTATATGACTATGAATATGCTTTAAAAGCTTACATTTATTTAATCCGCTTTATATTGCTATTCTTGTTAAAAACAAGCTCGGAAGCCATAATGATGTCTGATATGTGAGCAAATCATTCTTGTGAGTCAGTTTTTTCAATAAATCTTTTGAATCAATTCATAACTCCGTAATCTTCTTCAATGTTCTGAAACAAAATGATGTTCAAGAATTCATTGATCAATCAGGATGCTGCTTTTACAGGCTATTAATATTAATTTTTCAGTTCTGTAAGCAGTGTTATGTTATGTGTGTCTCAGTCTGTGAGGTGGTGCAGACGCTGCAGTTGAGTTCAGACCGAGAGCGCTCGGAGGTGGTTGGAGATCTCTCAGTGTGTCTGGATGGACTGCAGGTGGATCCCGAGACTTTTGCTTCTGAGGAACAAAAGCACAGTTGAGACCTTCTTTAACCCTACAAAACGCACTCGGCTTGTTTTCAACAACAGCTGAGAGATCTCGATTCTTTGCTGTTTAAAATATAGACTTCCCACACGTGAAGTTGTGTAATGTTTCTCTTCTGTCACAGATGCTGTTGTAAATGGAGAATCCAAAGTGAACGGGGATGTAGCAGGAAGGTAAATTTCATATTTAGTTTCAGTTATTTTAGTACTTATTTCAGTCAGCTGCCATTATTGAATATTAGCAGATAGCAGTTAAATTATGCAATATAAAACTTCTGTGCCATGCACATAAAACTAGAGTGTTCTAGATAATGAATGTTAAAGATAATTCTAGATAATGAATGTTAAAAAGGTTGTTGTTGTTTGTTTTGAATATTTATATTTACTTTCATTTATTTTCTATTTCAGTTTTAATAACATGTATAACAAATTATGGGCAAATTATTGAACACATAAAACAGGAATATTTTAGATGTTAAGATAATAATTTTAAATATATATATATATATATGTATTAATATTTGTATTTAGTAGTTAACTTATGCAATAAAGCTTACATGTCATGCAAATTCAACAGGAATGTTCTAGACTTTAAAAAATGTATGTATTTTTAGCACATTTCCTTTATATTATGACTGATGCCTATTGATGTTAAACAGCTATTGTATAAGTTGAACCTGCTTTAAGTATCTGACTCATGCTGAGTAAGCCTCAGTCTTTGCACCTATTGAATGTTGACATTTGTGTCTGTTTGTTGTTGGTCTAGTCGAGATTCTTCCCCATCCAGTGACATCGCTGATGAAGCGGCGCTGCCCAACGGTCATGCAGTGGGAAGTCCGGGGTCTGCCTCTCCATCAGCAGTGGCTCTGAGACCCCCCCGCCCATCTCGACCCCAGCGGCCACATAAACCTACTTCCTCCACAGGTAGGGAACATTATCAAAGGAGTCACATCCTGAATCTTAAAGGGATAGTTCACCCAAAAATGAAAATGTGATGTTTATCTGCTTACCCCCAGGGCATCCAAGATGTAGGTGACTTTGTTTCTTCAGTAGAACACAACACTTTGTTTAGATTACGTGGCTCCTTTAAGTTGAAGTTCCCTACCTATTCACTGCATTGTTTTTTTTAGCGTCCTCTGCAGGCTCGACTCCCACTCACGGCAGCAGCGCTCCCAGCCCGGAAACATCTCCACGGGTGTGTGTGAACGGAGAAACCGAGAGTCAGGGGTCAAGCTCAGGCTCAGGGTCAAATCAGGCTCCCAGGGCCAGTCCAACGCCACCCAGAGCTTCACTGATCAGTAACGGCCTTCTTCCTCCTGGGTACGTCATACAATTACAGTGAATCTTCTAATTTACTAGCTATATGCCATATGGAGCCTTTAATAACAGCAGATGCTCCTGCTGCATGTCAGAATGAATGGATGAAAATAAAGTCATTTTATAATAATAAGCCTGTATGGATTTAGTCTGATATGTTTTCTTTTTCATTTATTGGTGTGTGTGTGTGTGTGTGTGTGTGTAGCTGGGAGCAGAGAGTGGATCAGAACGACCGCGTTTACTACGTGGATCACATTGAAAAAAGAACCACATGGGAAAGACCAGAACCACTTCCGCCAGGGTAACCATGCTGTTTTTCAGTTTTACAGATTTGTCACTTTGTTGCTAATAGATATTTAAATTGCATATCGATTACAAAGAGTGAGGCTAAAGTATACTAATTAAATAACCTAAATAAATAACCTAAATAAATGCTTTTTAAGATGTCAGTTAAAGCTCACTGCTTTTAGCCATTATGCCACTTTACCTACTGAAATAAGACAAGTTCCCAGACATTCATTTTAAAAGAGCATCTGATGACATAGCATTTAAGCTGACTTTCGATTAGTATATTTTAAGCCAGTTTAGTCATTGTATTTTTATTGAAGATTTTTTAAATGTCATGCTTTTGATTGTTTTTATGCTTTCTAAAGATTTTTTATTTTCTGACCTGTGACCTTTTAGCTTAATTTTATGTATTTGAAAAATAATGTTATATTTAAATAATAATAATATTTATAATAAAATAAATAATAGTAAAAATAATAATAATAATTATTTTGTTTAAAATAATAATAATGATAATAATAATAATAATTGTTGTTGTTTTTGTTAACAACAATCATCATAAAAATGATCATTGTTAATTTGTAAACAATAATATTAATATCAATGATACATTTATTACAATTATTATTATTTTTTTCTGACCTGTGACCTCTGGCCTTTTAGCTCAATTTTGTATGAAAAATAAATGCTAAAGAGTTATACTTATATTTAAATAAAAACATAATAATTATTTTTGTTGTTGTCATCATCATTCATCATCAGAAATGATCATTGTTCATTTTTAAATAATAAGAGTAATAATAGTATTATTATGATTATTTAAAAATGTGTTGTAAGTGTAAAAATTGCCAGTGAACAAAACCCAAGGTCAGATGTAAAAGTGTCCTTGATGAGCAGTTGTTTGGAGAACCTTGTGTGTGTTTTGTGGTAGCTGGGAGCGTCGTTTGGACCCAATGGGCCGTGTGTACTATGTGGATCATATAATCCGAACCACCACATGGCAAAGACCTACACTCGAGTCGGTCCGGAACTACGAGGAGTGGCAGAACCAGCGCAGTCAGCTGCAGGGAGCCATGCAGCGCTTCAACCAGAGATTCATCTATGGGGTGAGTAAATGCGTAAAGAGAATGTACAGTCGCCAGTTAGACTCTGATTTGAAATGAAAGGACTTCAGGATTTCCTCTATAACCCGAGCTGTCCTTGCTCTTTCTATCTGCTCATCTCTTCAGCTGCAGGAACAGCTTGCGCCTACAGCTAATAAAGAGTTTGACCCTCTGGGTCCTCTGCCGCCGGGATGGGGTGAGTCACCGCTCTTTCATTTTTATGCAGCAGAAAGAGGAAATCACATTTTACCCTCGTAATAGAGCAGCTCACGCTGCCTTTTCTGAGTTTGTCTGTTTGTTTGGCACACAGAGAAACGGACTGACAGTAATAGGAGGATGTATTTTGTTCACCATCCTACAAGATCCACACAATGGGAAGACCCTCGAACACAAGGGTGCGACACGATCACAAGCCGACTAATAATTTTATTCATATTCTAGATTAGCTTTTAGTTTCATATTTTTATTTATTTTTAATTTAAGTTAAGTTTAGTAATTTTGTCTAAATGTTTTATTATTATTTATTTATTTTTTTTCTGATTTAGTTTTAATTTATTTCCAGTTAGTAATTTTTTGTTACTTGCCAAAGCAGCATTCTCATTTTTGTTCAGTTTTTCATCTAATATTTACAATTGATTTTATTTCTGCTTTAGTTAAAGCTGCAGTCCGTAACTTTTTTTGGTTAAAAATGATCCGAAATCAATATTTGAGCAAATACATAACCAGCCAGTGTTCAAAACTATCGCCTTACTTTAGCCCGATTCACAACGGTTAGCTTATAATAATGTTTTCTTATTTGAGTGGTACGGGTAGGTTTTCGCGGGAAATTCGAGCATGCTG